AAGAAGAAGAAGAAGAAGAAGAAGAAGAAGAAGAGAAAGTGAGGGGCACCCGGGTGGCTCAGTAGAGTTGAGCCTCTGACTCTTGGTTTCGGCTCAGGTCATGCTCCCCCTGCCCGTTCCCCCGCCTTCCCCGCTCATGTGCACATGCTCTCTTTCTCTCTTAAAAAAGTTTTCTTAATGTTACAAAAAAAAGAGAGAGAGAGAGAGAGAGACAAAGTAAGGCGGTATGGTGACTTATGGAATTTTTCTTTTTTGGGTATCAGTGCCTAGTTGTAAATAGTCCGTTGGTTAATTAGGGCCTAGGGATACTTTGAGGTAGATATTTTGAGGCGGGTCTCCTAACGGGCCTGTTTGTATTCAACTAGGTGGTAATTGTGGGCCTTTCCACACTCCAGTGCTCTGACAGTGGCCTCCACACCTTCGGCCACTTCTTGCCTCTGGCTGGGTGGAGGCCCCAGACTCGCTGGCAACGTGCACCACTGCGACCTGTTTGGGGAAGGCCCCCGGGATCTCCCACTGATGCAAAAGCAGCCTTGGCTTTCAAAGAGGCCACACTACACAGGCCAGTAGTTCTACTCGAGTTTTGGTACTTCAGGCACGAGCCACACACACTGCTGGGGAAACGGGCTCCATGTGGCTGAAACAGGAGTCTCAGGCATCACCATCCTGCCCAACTCCTGTCAGAAGACTAGACAAACTTTTCCCTTGTTTAGAACAGCCAGTGCATGGCCAAGGCCAGAAATGCATCTATAATTCCCATAGCTGGGTCTTGCCCCCAAACTGTCAAAAAGCTGAAAGCACGTCAAAGCCCAACCTTAGCATCTTGCCCAGCGCCTCACTTTTGGACTCATTCAGGGGCTCCAAGTTATGTTAACTGAAAAAGACTTGGGTACAGAGTGATGTAATATGTGGTGTCTGGGTAAGGGGAAATGGAGGAAATATGTGTAAGTGATGGGGAGAACAAAGGCAAAAGAAACGTCGATAAAATTAAAAATTAAATTTCCGGGGTGCCTGGGTGGCTCAGTCGGTTAAGTGGCCAACTTCAGCTCAGGTCATGATCTCACCAGTCCTGGGTTCCAGCCCTGCATCCGGCTCTGTGCTGACAGCTCAGAGCCTGGAGCCTACTTCTAATCTGTGACTCCCTCTCTCTCAGTCCCTCCCCTGCTCATACTCTCTCAAAAACAAATACACGTTAAAAATGTCTTAAAAATATTAAATTCCCTTCTAAATTAAAGCCCATTGACAAATGCTTGAGACACAGAGAGTATGACATTTCTCCAGGGACTCACCTTTATGTTAATGCCTTGCTAGAGGGAAAAATCTTAGCTTGACAATAGTCAGGCCTCCAGATTCCTGTTAAGTCTTCTTTAAGGCAGGAAAATCCTTTTGGAAACTTCCTCTGGTCTTTACCCACCCCACCCACAACTCCAAAGTATAAAATCAATTGTTCCTCACAATCCCAGGGGGGCTCTTTTTGCTCATGGGTCCTGTCCCCCTTCTATAGAAAAACCACCGTTTACTGTGAAAAGGTCTCACTCTTTCTTGGCTGTTGGCTCCTGAGCCCTCCTTCAATCGTCATCATCTGCAGGTAGAATTACGCACGTGTAGATGGTCTGTAAAGTACCCACAAGACACTGGTACCTGTGCTTGCTTCTAGGAAAGGGAACGGGGAACTGAGGGCAGAGCTGGAAAGCTTTGCTTTTCTTGCATATACTTTAATGTCTGCACTTATTTTTATCACGTTAACATATTATCTACGAAATGTCCAATGTTCTTAAAGGTCAGTGCAACACAAATTGCGAGTACGGTAAGACACGTGGTGTCATGAAAAATGAGCCGTTTAGTCCGGTAGAGGCGAGATCAAGTACATTTTCATTACAAAGACAAATAAGTACACATAAGCGCTCATTTCCCCCAAATTAATTCGTCACATGGTGATTTCGCCTTCCTACTGGGGCAGAGTGGCGCTTAAGCCCTGACCCCTCTGCCCCAGACTCAGGGCAGGTCCCAGGGCGCGCGAGTCACACCAACGTGCCCAGGGACACGAAAGAGTCGTCTCTGGGACATCGACCCTGCACATCGGCCAACGTCTCCAGCCTAATCAAACCTCCCGAGGAATCCAAATTCCAGGTGCGACGCTTGAAGCCCCGAGAAAAGGCGAGCCTGCGTTCCCCGGAAGCCCGAGGAGGCGCAACGACCGCAGCCCACACAGGTCCCCGCCCACACGCCCCGCCCCCTACCAAGCCCGGTCCCGCCCCCTGCCCGCGGATGTCCCTCCTCCCTAGCCGAGGTCATGTCCGGCCCCGCCTCCTGCCCGCGGATGTCCTTCCTCCTTAGCCTCCTGTCGTCCGGCCCCGCCTCCCGCCCGCCGACGACCCCGTTTCCCCGTCCCCCGGTCACGTCCGGCCCGGCCCGCCTGTTGGCTGCGAACGTCCCGGCTTCCCCGCTCCCAGTCACGTCGGCACCGACTCCCACCCGCGGACGTCCCCGCTCCCCCGCCCCGTGGCACGTCCGGCTCCGCCTCCCGCCGGCGGACGTCCTCGCTCCCCCGCCCCCCTGTCACGTCCGGCCCCGCCTCCCGCCGGCGGACGTCCCGCTCCCCTGCCCCAGGTCACATCCGGCTCCGCCTCCCGACGGCGGATGTCCCTGCTCCCGCCCCCGACACGTACGGCTCCGGCTCCGCCTCCCGCCGGCGGACGTCCCCGCTCCCCCGCCCCTGTCTCGTCCGGCTTCGCCTTCCTGTCTTCCGCGAAAGTCCTGCCTTCCCGGTCAGTGGTCACGTTCAGCCACGCCTCCCGCCCGGGGTCACGCCCGCGGACGCGCCCTCCTCCCCTCTCGCTCGGGTGCCCATCCGGTTGGTCGGGAAGCTTCCCGTGTGCGAGGCTGAGTCACTACCGGAAGGTGGACAAGGGCTGGTGTCGGTTCCCGGCAGTGCGGGGAACACGCCGCGGAAGGGAATCGGAGCAGAGCTGAGGTGTCGCGGATGCGGTCATCCAAATCCGCCGCCCTTGTACCCAGGGGACAAGGCCAACACAGCTGAGGCCAGTAAGGACTCAGAGGGCAGTCACCGCGACCTGAGGTTGCCTCCTTTTCTCCGCTCCCGTGGTAGTTCCACACTCACCTAGGTGCCACCTTGCGGGGGATTAGGGAGTGTTCTGATGAACCACTGGTGTAGCAAACCACTGTGGGGTCAAGAGTTTGGAAAGAGTAGAAACAAACAGGATTTGTTTCTGTCTCAAAACCTCTGGGACGTCATCTGGGAAGATGGAGGCTGAGAGGTGACTTGCCAGGTTGGTGCTGGAATGATCTGGAGTCACTCATTCACTCATTTACTCCTTCATGATGCTGGCTGTTGGCTAGGATCTCAGCAGGATCACCTACAAGCTTCCTCACATCACGGTGGCCGCGTTCCAAGGGAGAGGCTCCCAAGAATACCAAGCAGAGGGGATCGTCTTTATTTTTAAACTTCGTATCACTTTCACCTTAGCCATAGGTACCCCCAAAGTCAAGAGAGAAAATAGACTCCAGCCCTCAATGAGCAAAGTGTCCACATCACATTTTAGAAGAGCATGTGTGTGGAATATCTTGTTACAACCGTCATGAAAAATTTAAAGGAATGAGGAGATCATTTACCAAGAAGGACTGAGTTAAGCTCAACACACTATGTTTTGGTTCTTTCTATATAGTCACTCCAAAGTTCACTGGCTTAAAGTAATTTGCCATTTCTCGGGGCGCCTGGGTGGCTTAGTCGGTTAAGCGTCCGACTTTCACTTAGGTCATGATCTCGCGGTTCGTGGGTTCGAGCCCCGCGTCGGGCTCTGTGCTGACTGGAGCCAGCTCAGAGCCTGGAGCCTATTTCAGAGTCTGTATCTCCCTCTCTCTCTGACCCTCCTCTGCTTACGCTGTCTCTCTCTCTCTCTCTCTCTCCTAGAAATAAATAAAAATATTTAAAAAAAAAAAAGTAATTTGCCATTTCTCATGGTTCTTATGTTTGGCTGGGCCTTAGCTGGGCTGTTCTGATGAGCATGTGGCTTGAACTGGAAAGATCAAAATAACCATGGGCCTCTCTGCAATGGCTTTGATATTTGGCAAGGTGGCTGGATATGCAAAGGACTTTCGAGAAGAAATGTTCCAACCAAAGAAGACATAAGCTGTGGCTCTGTTAAGGCTTGTACCCCAGAAGCAACACATTAGTGCTTCCTTCCCATTCTGTAGGTGGAGACAGATCAGAGGGCCAACCCCCCAGGAAGTAGATTCCATCTCTTCAAGGGTAATTGTCTGGGTCACATTGCAAAAAAGCTTTTGGGAGGAGAGATGTTGATGTGGTCATCTTTGGAAACATAGTCACCACTACTATGCAAAAACAACAACAAAAAACCCTGAGAGATCTTTAATTGGGCGGTTAAATTTCCCCCTATTTTTCCTCATCTTGTGGGACAGAGGCTTAGGAGCAAAGATCAGTTATAAAATATGCCACTTTTTCCTCCCCTGAACATTTGAGTATAGAGAGTAAATTGTGGGGGTGCCTGGGTGGCTCGTTGGTTAAGTGTCCGACTTCAGCCCAGGTCACGATCTCACGGTCTGTGAGTTTGAGCTCTTGCGTCAGGTTCTGTGCTAATAGCTCAGAGCCTGGAACCTGCTTTGGGTTCTGTGTCTCCCTCTCTCCCTGCCCCTCCCCCACTTGCACTCTTTGTCTCAAAAATAAACACTAAAAAAATTTTTTTAATTTAAATTGTGAGCCACTACATATGTCAGAATGCCAGTATGCATTAGAAAGAGCCTTGGTCTTGAGAAATAAAATTGGAGAACAAATTTGGATCAGGAGGGGAAATAGATTAATTTTGGTTTTGCTGCTAAAGGCTTTGTACCTGCATCTATCCATCATATCAGTACTTGGTATGATTAACAATCACCTTAAGGTGGATTAAATGATCAGATGAAACTGTTAAGCCTAATTCACTTATTCTTCACTTGCTTTGCTCTCCTCCTGGTTCAGTCTCCCGCCATCGCCTACCTGAACTACTGCAGACCACTCGTAATAAGCGTCCGTGCATCCACAGTTGCCTTCTTCCAACCCATTCTCCATTTATGTATCTTTTTTTAAAAAAAATTTATAGTTTATTTTTATTTTTTGTTTTTGAGACAGAGAGAGACAGAGCATGAGCAGGGGAGGGGCAGAGAGAGAGGGAGACACAGAATCTGAAGCAGGCTCCAGGCTCTGAGCTGTCAGCACAGAGCTCAACGCGGGGCTGGAACCCACAAACCGTGAGATCATGACCTGCCGAAGTCAGATGCTCAACCGACTGAGCCACCCGGGCGCCCCTCCATTTATGTATCTTTAAGATACGTATTTAGACACTTAATCCCAAGAGTATACTTTAGTACAAAAAGAAATGTGCATAACTCTCTTGTTAGGGATTTTGCTGTAGTATTTTCAGATCCTTAATGCTGGGAGGGTACTTACAGACCAACTCTTTCATTTTAGGGATGAGGAAAGTTAATCTCACAGAAGCTAAGTAAGTTGCTCAGAAGCATACTGCTTAGTAATTGGCACAAGATGGAACATGACTTCCTAATCCGGTGATCTTTTTACCCATCACATTACCTTTCAAGTAAAGAGGGAAGATACATGATAATATTTTATATTTTTATAACCCTTGTTGATACTTTTCAAGCTTTTACTTTAAAAAGTTTTTATTTATTTATTTTTTAGAGAGAGACAGAGCACGAGGGAGAGGGGCAGAGAGAGGGAGACACACAATCTGAAACAGGCTCCAGGCTCTGACCTGTCAGCACAGAACCCAATGTGGGGCTTGAACCCACAAATCGCAAGATCATGACCTGAGCCAAAGTCAGATGCCTAATTGACTGAGCCACCCAGGCGCCCCTCTAGCCTTCACTTTTTTTAAATCTGATTTTATCTTTATAGTGACCCGTGAAGTCAGTCCGGTGGTGCCATTCATTCTCCTCAGCTTGTAAAACTAAGACAAGAAGACACGGATGCGTGGTGACTTGTTCGAGGCTATAACTGGCCGGTAATATATTTCGACAGACAAATACAAGTCTTCAGGATCCTCTTTCATGGTTTTTAATTTTTTTCTTTGGAAAAAAAATATAATTTTTACGAAAGTAATATGTGCTTATAGTTATCAGTCAACCCAGAAATGTATGATGAAACTTTCTTTTCTTTTCTTTTCTTTTTCACGTCAGACGGGTAATGTGCCGGTCATAACAAGGTTTAAGGTGGTACATGTCACACAGCGGCGTGAACACCCAGTCATCATGCTTATCAACCCCAAAAGGATCTGACGAAACTTTCTTAAGCAAGAATAACAAAAACAGAGAAGCCACAAAGGAAAAGACATATTTAACTACCTTAAAAAAAAAAAAATTAAGACGGGCATCTGGGTGGCTCGGTCGACTTCAGCCCAGGTCATGATCTCACAGTTCATGGGTTCGAGCCCCGCATCAGGCTCTGTGCTGACAGCTCAGAGCCTGGAGCCTGCTTCTGATTCTGTCTCCTGCTCTCTCTGTCCCTCCCCCACTTGCCCTCTGTCTCTTCCTCTCTCAAAAATAAATAAACGTTAAAAAATATAAATAAATAGGGGCGCCTGGGTGGCTTAGTCGGTTAAGCGTCCGACTTTCGCTTAGGTCATGATCTCGCAGTTCGTGGGTTTGAGCCCCACGTTGGGCTCTGTGCTGACTGCCAGCTCAGAGCCTGGAGCCTGTTTTGGAGTCTGTATCTCCCTCTCTCTCTGACCCTCCCCTGTTCACGCTGTCTCTCTCTATCCTAGAAATAAATAAAAATATTTAAAAAAAAGAAAAAAATATAAATAAATAAAAAATAAAAATTTTCTGTAGCTATGTATGGGGATGGGTGTTAACTAGATACTGTGGGGATGATTTCACAATATACAAATACTGAATCATTATGTTGTCCATATGAAACTAATATAATGTTATATGTTGACTTTAAAAAGGGGAGGGAGGTATGGGCACCTGGGTGGCTCAGTTGGTTAAACATCTGACTCTGGATTTCAGCTCAGGTTACGATCTCATGGTTTGTGAGTGGAGCCCTACGGTCTCTGTGCTGACAGTGCAGAGCCTGCTTGGGATTCTCTCTCTCCCTCTCTCCCTGCATGCCCCACCCCCCCAATTGTGGTCTCTCTCTTTCTCAAAAAAAAAAAAAGACTTAAAAACAAAGATTATTTGGTGCCAGAAATAATTCCCTGACATAATCCATCCCCTCACTTCTACATTAATATAATTTTTAGTTGGCCATAGAGCCTCTCAGAATAGAAATCATAGAAGCCTGTTACATTTGCAGCTAGGTAGGGCCACGTGACTAAATTCAGCAAATGAGATGTAATGAAATGGAAATGTCTGTGTGTGACAGCCTGGGGCGGGGGAGGTTCATTCCTTAAAAGAGGGCTGCTGTGTGCCCTGGGAGCTACTGCCATCTTGCATGTGAAGATCCGAGTCCTGCCTTTGGGATGGATGAGAAGGAGCCAAAGCCCCTGAAGCCTCCATGTGGCAGTGCTGCCTCAGCAACTCGGGACTGCATACCTCTGGGCTTGTATATAGGGGCAAATAACCTCTTTTTTAATGTTTATTTATTTATTTTGAAAGGGAGGGAGCTCTTTTTAATGTTTATTTATTTATTTTGAAAGGGAGGGAGCTCTTTTTTAATGTTTATTTATTTATTTTGAAAGGGAGGGAGCGTGGAAGAGGGACAGAGAGAGAGACAGACAGACAGAGAATCCCAAGCAGGCTCCATGCTGTCAGGGCAGTGCCCGATGTGGGGCTCAATCCTGTGAACTCTGAGATCACGACCTGAGCCGGTCAAGAGCCAGATGCTTAATCAACTGGGCCACCCAGGTGCCCAGGGCCAAATAAATTTTATATATTTTAAGCATCTCTTATTTTGGATAGTCTGTCTTTTGCAGCCAAATCTACTTTCACTGGAATAGTATTTTACTCAAGGAAGATGAGATTGGAGTGCTATGCGTGGCTTTGTTTGTACATCTCTGTTTGATTTGCTGGGGTGAGAATATGTTCATTCTGCAAACAAAACAAATAACAAAACCAAAAACCTAAAAAAAAAGTGTATCTTTTTTGAGAGAGAGAGAATGTGAGTAGGGGAGGGGCAGAGAGACAGGGAGACACAGAATCCCAAGCAGGCTCCAGGCTTTGAGCTGTCAGCACAGAGCCTGACATGGCGCTCAAACCATGAAATGTGAGATTGTGACCTGAGCCAAAGTTGGACAGTTAGACACTTAACCGACTGAGCCACCCGGGTGCCCCCCAAACAAAAACCTTTTTTTAAAAATGTTTTATGTATTTCTGAAAGAGAGAGAGAGAGAGGCAGCGTGAGCAGGAGAGGGTCAGAGAGAGAGGGAGACACAGAATCCGAAGCAGGCTCCAGGCTCTGAGCTGTCAGCACAGAGCCCGATGTGGGGCTCGACCCCAAAAACCATGAGATCATGACCTGAACTGAAGTCGGACGCTTAACCGAATGAGCCACCCAGGCGCCCCACAAAAACTTTTAAAAAGACTCCTCACATTATGGCCAGAAGTCCTAGGTTCTTTTTTTTTTTTTAACGTTTATTTATTTTTGAGAGACAGAGAGACAGAGCATGTGTGGGGGAGGGGGCAGAGAGAGAGAGGGAGACACAGAATCTGAAGCAGGTTCCAGGCTCAGAGCTGTCAGCACAGAGCCCAATGCGGGGCTGGAACCCACAAACCGTGAGATCATGACCTGAGCTAAAGTCGAATGCTTAACTGACTGAGCCACTCAGGCGCCCCCAGACGACCTACGTTCTCATTTCACCTCCAAAATTAACTGGTTATGGCCTTGGAAAAATGATTACATTTCTCCCTATGTCAATTTTTAAACATTTCCAGATGAGAGAAAATAAGTTATCTATTTTTTTATAGTTGAAAAAGAGAAAAGCAACATTGCTTATTGCATGCAAAACTTTGCAAAATTGCAGGTGAGAGAGTTCCTTGAGATGCTTCATGACAAATAAGCCCAGGGGTCAAATAAGTTGAGGAGATGTCGCATATTATGTCCCGCTCCCATCCTTGAAGTGTCAGCGCGCATTAGGAAATTAAACATCTGAGAATTCCCGCAGGGAAGAAGCCTGTTTCCCTTCATTAACACATCAGATTAAAGGAGGGCTAGAGATTCTAGATTTCAGTCTGGACCTTCAGGGACAGGCAAGGAAGGGACAGGCATCTTCCTGGCTGCACTGCTGTGGACAAATGATCTAACCTTCCTATGCTTCCGTTTTCTATGTGAAATGTACTAATGTCATTCTCTTTCTCTTGCGGGATCACTGAGCACAGCGGGCAGGAAAGAATTCTTGAGACGTTTTACGATGCAACTTAGTAAGTTTATTTCACTAAGTAGCATGGGGACAGGACCCATGGGCAGAAAAAGCCGCACTTTGGCGTCTGAAGCTGGTGGTCATAGGCTTAGTGCTCAAGGGGGAGGGGACAGACATGCAGGAAGTATTAGATCATAAGCGTTTCTTTGAATTTCTACTCATAAAACCACGTTCGCAAGATGTCTCTGTTGCTTATCATTCAGCTCGATATTAACCCTCAGTGAGAGGTACGGGCAGGAATGAGACCTTTGAAGGATGCAGCGCCTGGCACTTACTTGATCCTTATTGGAACGAAGCAGGCTGTGGGCCGTTTCTTCTGGGCTAAGTGTGAACTTTATTCTGCTTCTATCCCTCACCAATTCTGCATGGGGTTGTTGGAAAAGGAAGTTAAGACACTGGCATTTTGTAATTGCTCAAAAAATGATGATGATGATGATGATGATGATGATGATGAAAGCAGTCTGATCTAGAGTTTCTAGGAAATGACTGACTTCTGTGCCCAATTTGTTGACAAATAAAAAGGAAAGGGTAAAATCTGGGAGTGGTTTGAAGCCAGATGTTTCGGACAAGAGGCCTGAATGGTGACGGCGTGACTTACGCACGCAGAAGGCAGAACGCAGAAGGTCTGGAGAGAATGGTTCCTGCGGGCGCTGGCAGAGCGAGGGGAGAGAGGCCGCGCCAGCATCGGGCGCCGCTACCTGCTTCGGTCCCGCTGGCGGTCTGCAGTGAGGCCCGCAGTACACACCACTCATTTTTCTTCAAATTTTTTATTGTGGTAAAATACACATAAAAATTACCAATTTAACCCTTGAAACATTTTTTTTAGTGTTTATTTTGAAAGAGTGAGGAAAAGAGAGAAAGAGAGAGAATGAGTGGGGAGGAGGCCGGGGGCGGGGTGGGGACAGAGGATCCCAAGCAGGCTTCACGATGACAGCAGAGCCCAAAGTGGGGCTCAAACTCACAAACCGTGAGATCATGACGCTTAACTGACTGAGCCACCAGGCTCCCCCCATCTTGGCCCTTAAAAAATTTTTTTAAAAAAACATTTATTCATTTTTGAGAGACAGGGAACAAGCTGGGGAGGGGCAGAGAGAGAGAGAGAGAGACACAGAATCCGAAGCAGGCTCCAGGCTCTGAGCTGTCAGCACAGAGCCCGATGTGAGGCTTAACCCTTGTTAAGTGTATAGTTCAGCGGCGCATGGGTGACTCAGTCGGTTGAGTGTCCGACTTCGGCTCAGGTCATGATCTCACGGTTCGTGGGTTCGAGCCCCGCGTCAGGCTCTGTGCTGACAGGTAGCTCAGAGCCTGGAGCCTGCTTTGGATTCTGTGTCTCCCTCTCTCTCTGACCCTCCCCTGCTCACGTGGTCTCTCTCTCTCTCAGAAATAAATAAAACATTACCCAAAAAAGTGTATAGTTTAAATAGCAAGCGGCACATTCACACTGCTTTGCATCGGTCCCGACTCTCCATCCCCAGAAGTCTTGTCATCTGACCCTCCAGACCCATTAAACACCACTGTCCTACCCCCTCCTCCCAGTGGAATGGCCACCACCATTCTACTTCCCCAGTCCACGATATTGACTCAGTTCCTCATATAAATGGAATCATCCACTATTTGTCTTTTTGTGTCTGGCTTACTTCACTTAGCATGATGTGCTCAAGGTTCATCCGTGTTGTGACATGTGCCAGAGTTTCATGCCTTTTCAAGGCTGAACAACACTCCTTTGTATGAGGTTCCTAATACTTTTTGTTATATTAAAAACTACCGTCTTAGGGACGCCTGGGTGGCTCAGTCGGTTAAATGTCCGACTTCAGCTCAGGTCATGATCTCACGGTGCATGGATTTGAGCCCTGCATAGGGCTCTGTGCTGACAGCTCAGAGCCTGGAGCCTGTTTCAGATTCTGTGTCTCCCTCTCTCTCTGACCCTCCCCTGCTCATGCTGTCTCTGTCTTTGTCTCTCTCTCAGAAAGAAATAAAACATTAAAAAAAAAAAAACAACTACTGTCCTAAAACAACTATGATCTGGGGCTCTCCTTCACCGACATGCTCAGG